CGAGTTAGGCCGCTGCGGGGTTTCTTGGGTAGATCGGATCTCCGGGAGTCCCACACACGTCCTCCGTTTCCCGGACGGAGGGTATGGTGCGAAAATCATTCATCCCGTAAAATGTATTTGTCATTTTCTACCTCTATATGAGAAACGCGGACGATTCTTTTGTAAGATATATGACACCGTAACTTCTCCAGTGACCAGTTTCATTTGTGATTTGAGTACAAGGATGTCCTTCACAATAAAGTTAGTCTCTTTTCATGTCGGGAATTACTTTTGCTTATATTTTCTTTAAACATACTTTATAATAGATAACGTTGTTTGATAAAATCTGCAATAGTTTTTATAAAGTTATTACAGTCATTTTAAACGACTTATTTAGTCTGCCGTGCCATGGTTATTCAGAGTTTAAAAAGTTAAGCGTTTTACAACCAGAACCGATCCATGTATAGTTTGAACCTATTTAATTTTCTCGGTTTCTCGGATTCAGCTGTGAACTGTAATTCTTTTTGTATGATGTATCTAATGGGCTTAAGTGAAAAAATATTCTAGTTCCATGGAACTACTGGGAGAAAAAATCCGAATAGTACCAAACTGGAAGTAGAGAATGGAATGGATCAGATGCCTTTTTCAGGCTTAAAAGTGGAATCCATACTTATAAATGTGAAAGTGAGTTTGTTACCTATTGACGCTTAAACCGCTGAATCGATTTAGATGATATTTGGTATAGAGATACTTTCGGTCCCAGATAGTTTATATCCCAGAAATCATCCCTTAAGGGGGTAAAAAAGGGGTGGAAATTTGTATGGGCAATCAATAACCGCTGAACCGATTCAGATGAAATTTAGTATGGCGATAGCTTGATTCTTGATAAAGGATAAAGGTTACTTTTTAGGCGATAACCGATAAACATGCTGGCGTACCCGCGGGCAAAAGATAGTTGAATATTATTTTTTTCGTGTGAGAGCAATGATTCGGCACAAATGAGCCGGCTCGACCGGAGTGATACAACAGCCTCACAGAAAACTAATAATAAATGAGCAGCATAACATTTTAAAGTTTTAGCTTATGAAAACTAGACGAGATTCGCATGACAAAACCTAGAGCTCGGGATGCTTTCATTACAATATTGTCAATATGTTCATTGAACAACAGCTTTGAGTCACAAATAACGCCAAGATCACGAACACTATGACACCTTGCAAGTTTCTGTTTAGAAGGTGCTTTATAAACATGTTAATTAAATAAATTATATTTCCAGTTGGCTTTCTTCTTTATGATGATGGTGGCTTTTATCTTACCATTCACGATGGGTAGTTTACAAGTCAGCAGCGATGAACCACGAGTGAGGCAAGCAAGGCAGATTGATTATGATGTCCTTGAAAAGAACGGCCATGGAGATCCTTGGGGTCGCTACAGTACCACCAAACGCAATTAACAGAAATTTCTATAATGTCTTGGAAAAAAAGCTGTAATAACATTGTTTATGAATATGTGTAGATTGGGTTGAGGTTTAATGAAAATACACTTATTTTCTAGTTTCATGCTTCTCGTTTTATTTTTAATCTGATAATTTTAATCAGAGTTTTCCAAGGGGAAGACTCTGGTTTTTGTGTAAACTTTGTGATTAGGCTGGTGTGCCTGCCTAGACCCGCACTATAAGATGCAATTATAAGCACCCAAAGCAGAAATAAAGACTAATCATCATGTTAATGTTAATAATTAAGAGTACGTGACGTAAAATCAGAATATCGTCCATTATGAACCGTAGTTATTTATTTGACTTTGAAGCCACTATTTTTTTTCATAAATTAAGAGGTTTTAATAGTAAATGACAGTTTAAGATTTAGTCAAGAAAATAAATAAATTTGATAAGATTTATATCTTAATATCACATTTATTCACGGGATATTAGGATATAAATATTATCAAATATATTTATTTTCTTGACTAAATCTTCTAAATTCTTTTTCAACTTTACAAGTGTTATACTTAAATAAGTGTTGGGGGCGTTTTCGTGACGCATCGGCAGCCGGCTGTGGGGTGCGTGGGAGATCAGCCCTCGCCGGCGCGTCGGGCACTACGCTACCGAGCACTATTTTTTAATGTCGTTAAAATATATTGTATTTCTTTTGTTAGTTATAATATACCAGTTGTTATACAGTCCACTGCATATTATTTAAGGCTTACCTATCAATAATAAGCTTAAAGATCTTACAAAAATTAGTTTAGTCTAAAGATTATAAAATGTCTATGTCTAAAAACAGTTAACTTATAAAACAAAGTAGGTATTAGTTAAAAGTCCATTCCAATTAACATAAGCTAAAATATTTAACAATAAAATCACAAACGTAAAGTCCAGTATGTCAGTTTGATATGCCTTCAAAGAAGCTCTCATTTATTTTTAATGGCTCATGGCTCATGGACATCTTTAACACAAGAGTCACAAGTGGCTGGTCGTTAAGTGCCGCCGGTCCTCATTCACTCCGTACCGAACTTTTGTACCGAAGAGAGGCTCTCACGAGAGTAAGAGTGCCCTCCTGGAGGATAACAATTGAGACGGTAATGTTTAGAACCTTATTCATTACTGTCGGCATAATATTTTCTTTTATCGACACTTCATCGTCCACAAGATCTTTCACTCTCGTACAAAAATATCTGAACTACCAAATATGTAGACAAAGTTGGTTTGTGTGTCTTTTGCTAACACTTTTTAATTTCTTTATGGAACTTTTTAAATACATCCCTGTGTTAAAACTATACTCGTTTGTATATTATTAAGAAAACATAGTCACGTTACTAAACATACAATAAAGGATGATTGTTATTAATTATAAATTCAAAATAAACATGTTTAACTGGTATCGGTGGCGTGAGTATTTTTAAGTTTACACATAATTACCTAGGAATAAATTTAACTCAATTTACTTTTTATTTAATAAAAAGTAAATTGAGTGAGATGTTATCAATTTTAATTTATTATTTAAAAGTAACTTCTTAATGGAATTGGCACCGATCTAGTCTATAGTCACTGGATACATTTCAATTCCATTAAAGTTTTAAAGAGTTCTCTAAGATTAAGACCGTCGGACAATATATTATGTATATAGATACAAATTTGGTTTGTAATCGAGGAGGATGATTTTGAACTGTTTTTTTTCTAACGTTTTTTTCCAGACGGGTTGGTATAGGGATTGTATCAAGTTTTCCTTCTTTTTGCAGTGCTGGTGTCCTGCGTTGTTTTGCGCCCTTAGTCGCCTCTTACGACACCCACGGGATGAATTGGGGTAGTGACATTCCGTATTCTTAATCCGTCACTACACGGACAATGACTCACAGTAAACTTAATAAATATTTTTTCTATGATTTATCATTACACCACCATGTGTTGTATAAGTCTTATAAGAGATCGGATATATTTGAAGATTTATTTGACTAAGTACATAATGTCAGATTCGCCATCACGTACAACCGACTAGGGATGCGTGGTGGCAATATTATATTATGAAACGTTTTATCGATAATCGATTTTTATAGCTTTGGCTGAAATATCTACCGAAGGTTCACCTTTTATGATTATGAATTTGCTTCTGCCCACGGGTTCACTCGCACGGTAGAATGACTAACTCAACATAATTAGAAATAATTTAGAATATTTTTTACTCTTTTTAAACGATTTTTGCTAGACTAAATTAATAGAATATAGTCACGTTATTAACAATGTTTGCATTATAACAATGTACTGCACAGTGTGATGAGAAAAAAACATTGTTGATTGAAAACGGCTCATAAATAGACATACATCGATATTTTCAAAATGTCGATACGTCGCCATTTAGATCCTGTCGAGTGCCGAACTCACCAGTCTTGTCGTTTGACACTCACACGCATGATTTCATGACCAAGCAATGACACGGCAATTCTTTGCTTTTTTATTATTTTTCAATGTAGTGTTAAACTCGGATATACATATGTTATGTTTTTATATAGTCAATTCGTATAGGCTGTTATGCATGATGTGACGCCTTAAAATGTTGTGCATTAATTTCAATATAACGGATGCATGCTTTAGATTTTAGTAAATAATGTAACAACTACTAGCTGTCCAATAAATAAATAAATAAATTGCTTCTGTCTTGTGTAAATGTGTATTGAAGTACAATTTTTCGAATAATTATTTTTAATTTATTATTTATTTATTTATAGCTAGTATTACACCTTCTTGGTGAGCGAAGAGGTTTTTCTATTGTTTTACTATGTATTGGTAAAATAACCTGCACCCTTTTAGAGAGTCGGCTAACACTTTCGACAGCAAAATAGGGTTGTTTATGAGTAATAATAATGAGAATAATATTTTTGATTATATGAGACACAACGCCATCTAGTATCAAACAAAAAATTGATAATATGTTAGTACTTAACTTCGAAACATTCAAAATACAATATCTTTTTTCCTAGACTTCTTTCGCTAGTAATTTTGTTATGAGAATGGTCAAGAATAAATTCTGAAGTGTTTTAGACATTTTTGATATTTAAACGCTACCATTTCAGTTAAAATAAAATTATGTATGGGGACCTGCCATTGTTCTTTAAGCTAGAATGAATTAATCTATATTTTTTTGAATAAAATATACTTGGTAAGTAATAAATAAGTAAATAGCTGATAGCAGTTGATGGGTTAGGGATGAGAAATTATTTAAAGGTTGGAAACTTTTGTTATAGAATTTATTCGTTGTAAATTTAATTATCTTGAAATGTTCTATTTGTCAAGTATGTGAGAAGAAGGTATAAATTTGAAATGCATATCAAATAGTAAAATCCATGATCCATGATCCAGACCATGAAGTCGCACAAGTAGGAATATCAAAGATTATCTGTACCTAGAGTCATAAAATTTGGCAAAAGCTGTGGCTATTCACTCTTGATTCGATGACGAAACTCAAGGAAACCGACAAGTCAAATATGAATGTAATTACTGAATGTACCTAGTTAATTTATAATATTTTTTAACTGGAAATGCAGGATCCAGCTTTTTGAACAATGTAGTTGCAAGAGTCCGGGTCAGTCCCATGGTGGTAGCCGCCTCGACCCAGGCCGTGGTATTTAGGACCGTGGTAACCATGGCCGCGGGATTCAGCTCCTTCAAGTAGATCATCTACGACAAGTTCAGCGGGCGCAACGTCTTGTGATTCATAAGGTATCCCACTGACCAGTGCCAGAATGGCACAGAGTAGAAGAGCGAAGAGTGTGAACTAAAAACAGAAAATATCAGTAGATACAGAATTACTTATAAGAATATTTGAAATGTGTATTTCTTATTAAAGTATTACGAAATGCGATCACACTTAAAATTTTCTTTCATTATGAGGCATTGACAAACCAATAACACTTATGATTAAGAACTTTGATTAGAACTGTAATTGATTTGGCCGTTCTGAAAAGCTGAGTTTGACCTTTGTAGCATAGGTATTTAATATTGATTTCAATGTGAAATATTTACTCGTTTTTAACAGAAAGAGATTTTTCAGACAGGCTGATCACGGCTAAAACCTTTATGTATTGTTTTTTGTCTTTTGGGGTACGGAACACACTCGTAGAGGAGATGTCACAATGTTGTCTAAGCTGGTAGAAGATTTCCACTTCACTGAATCTAATGCTGGTGAATTGTTACCCGTACATGGTGCCTCGGGTACTCGATAGAAGCTGATGCAATGCCTTATTTAGAACCTAACCTCTAGTCTCACTACGTATTTGCTAACTTTTGCAGACCGCACAGGCACCTAGGGTTTTCACCATTTTTCAGAAGGACGGGAAGACGAGTCTTGAATCATTAAATGTTATTAAGAAATTGAAAACACGATCGTCTGAAATTGTTTTGACTACTGCTGTCTACTTTGAGTTTTGCTTTTAACTATCGAATTAATGTACTTTACTATTTGTTACTGTTACTGTTACCATGTTACTGTTTGTTAATAGTTTTATTCTTATGTGTTTAATAATACATGCTCCAGAGGGGCCCGCAGTTTGTTAAATTACGAAACATACTCAGCTATGCAGCACATTTACGCAGTTAGAAACAATTGTAAGATAAAAGAAATTTAGTAAACCAGATTTTAGCTATTTGCACAGTAGTGTCGTATATATTTACATATATATTATCTAATATTTTTCAAAGGACAATAACTCCTAGGATATATTCCTAGGAGTTATTGTATCCTATGTTGCGGAGGACTTTACAAACATACATGTAACGGACTTAAAGATCACCCAGACTCAGAACAACAATTTGTGGATAACACAAAGTATTGTCCTCTGTGGGGATCGAGCCCTTGGCACTCAGTAGGAAGCGGCGAGGTGACCGCTTAAACTGCCACGCCATCCATGCAGTCAATGAAGTCATATTTTTTCCATGGTTTTTTATGATAATGTGGAAAATAAGCAGACGGGTCTCTCGATGGTTAGAGACTAACGTCCCCAATGGACAACTCAAGAGTGAAAAGAGCTTAAAAGCCGTGTGGTGTCGTGGGACACCCGATAGGAACGAAGTTGTGACGATCGAGTAAAACTGATTCGACACGATTTTAATTACAACGCCATCTATGAAAGCGGCTATTACCTAAATATTTTTCAGTTGGTTTCTAATTAAAACAATTTATACATTGGTAAAATCTCCTTGAGATAAAATCTCCTTAAGAACATAAATTTTAATTTTACTGAGATGAAAAGTAATGATTTCCTATCTATTCGATAGATGGCGCTGAATGACTGACAAGTGACAATTCAAAATAAAAAGTGTCGTTACAACTTTTCGTGAGATTTTTTTCCGTCTAGCCCCCTTTCACAACGCGCGATAAGGAACTTCGTTCCAATTAAAACGATAAATCTTTGTGAAAATATTGTCTAATATAACACCAACTTCATGTTGATAAAATTTTATTTAAATGATTACAAGAATAAAATGCAATAAGCTATTGATATGTACCCACTGCGTTAATTGGGAATTGTTGGCGGCTATACACGAGGAACACATTTAAATACTAGTCTAGGTTGATGAGGTTGCCATCATTCTGAAGTTTAGGGCTGCCCTGGATACTTTAGGAAAACAAAGTCTACATTTGTATATATGTTATTAATTACCGCATTCTGAAATAAATAAAAATAGAATCGACATAAAATATATAGATAGTCCCTCAATTTATCAAAGCATCAAAGTTTGGGTTTCTTTCATTTCATACCATTTGCTGCCAGTCCTCTGATGAACCATCAGGATTTGAGCATCAGCATAATATAAGCGGTACTTAATATACAACTCTCTCATATTCAGTCCACATTAATTGACTTGTAACATACTACATGGAAAAGTTGAACAATAACCTTTGTTAGCTACATCTAGCCTAGGCCCTAATGTCCTTGTATAGAGGTTTCAGAGTCCGTATTCAACGGTTATCAGTCTCAAATATGGATGACACAATATTGTTCAATTTATAATGAGACTTTTTCAAGAAAGCATAAAATACTTAGTGCTTATCACATCGTCGATTTAGAAAATATTCTTCTAAAATATATGTAGGCAGTATGTTACTGTTAACCTAATTCTATCATCATTACTGCTGTACTACCTATATTCAGTACTCGCAAAATATGATCTCCCAACTAATCACTGTGAGAGCAACCCTAACAGTGATTAACAAAATGTTAAACACAATTACTCATGCTTGCCTCTATGTTTATTAATACCAGGAAAATCATAACAAATATGCTAACATGCATAATGTGGTGTTCAATAAGCTTATTTGAGTTTGATATTATATTACTAGGATTACTTTGCTTTTGTGTGTACCCATAAAGAACGCAGTTTTTATTTTTAATTTATTCAACAGGGGAAAACCTCAGAAAACTTACATATATTTATATTTATTTGTTCTTTGGTGTACCCAAGGTGTTTGTACACTTGTCTATCAACACATGAAAATCGAAAAAGTCTTAACAGACAGAGAGGCAGACGGACGGACAACTAAATGATCTTATAAGGTTTAACTTACCTTTTGAGAAATGGAACACTCAAAAGTTCCTAGAGCCGAACATAAAACCTCCTCCATTTTGTAAAGTCGTTTGATACTTTAAAGTAACATTAATGTTGTTTAATTGCGACAAAAATCAACAAACACATTTAACGTCTGCGTGTTTCCCTTGTTTTCCTACATATATCATTCTCAGATCCGGTTTGGTGACAATGATATTGAAATTTTCTCGACAAACAGTGCCCTTCTTCAAGGTCTCTAACACTATATCAAAATTCACTAAAATTTAACTTAGAATAATAGTTGTATTTTATTGAGTGCATATAAACTTTTATAGAGTAGTATAAGATAGATGCCTATTGAGTCTATGAAATACAATTTTGTTTTTGTATCAATTTATTTTGTTATAGTATGAACTAAGACTGCTTGTAGTTGAATTATTTAAAAGTAATCAGGTAACTTTCATCAAGCTGTTTTTATTTTTTTTATATATAAGAGATTTAGGTGAGGGTAGTTTATCTGAAGAACTATTAATAAACATCTTAGTTTTGTCCTTTTTGGGTGGACGCACTGTGTAATTTTACAATTCTTTCAGATTATTGAGAGATCATACTTTAAATATCTTTAGCAAAAGTTTGTACGTTTCCTCTTGGTTACTTATACAGTAAGGTTGTTTTGAAAGTGAGTTTACCAGAACCGGATTTATTAAAAAAATGTTTTTAGTTTAGAATTTATAATTAGAATTTAGATTTAGAATTTTTGAAATCCGAGTCCGAGTCGAAATCGGGACCGCAGTCAAAGATTATTTAAGTGTTTCTTAATTGGTAAGGGTAAAGAAAATAAAATTTTCATTGATCTATGAAATGAATAGCCCATTTTACGATCATGCCTTTTTAAGAGATATTTTCTCGGTAACATCAAATGAAGTTGAAGTCATCGTATTAGCGGGCGGTTGTTAGGTGCTATATAATGCACCTAACAACCGCCCAAAGAATCCGGTAGGACAATGTGTTGTTCGTTTTATATGACACCAATGACATCTTGTCCGTGACCGTCTGATTCATAATAAAAATTTGGTGATATTTCCTTTGCGATACCTGCTTAGCAAGTTTTTTTTTTTTTTTAAATCACCTATATTTTGGACGTCCTTCGAATGAAATCATATAAAATGTTTCGTTTTACGGAGTAGGGCACTGTTCGAGTTGTACTTTTCAAGTGACAAAATGAATACCGTGAGTATATTTTACACTGTTATATTTTTTAGCTTTGTATAAACTCTGTGTAATATCAATTCCGTTTAACTTTTAATGATTAAAATGATATGAAGACCCCGACTAGTAAATATTTAATATAGCTTTGTAAATATTTTCTTATTTTCTTCTCCATAAAATTCCCCTTTTTAAAACCTATCCCAAAAGGCTGCAAATTATCAAATCTTGTGTTTTTCCATTTCATGCTTCTTTTTTGTTTAATATTATTTAAATTTTATTATTTTATGAAAAATAGCGTTAGATTATATTATTATTGTTTACCGTGACGGATAGAAAAAGTGGTCTAAATTTGAAGGAAAATGGGTGCGTTCACAATATGGGCTGCGTTCATATTTTCTACATCTGTAAAACTATATAATTTGCAAATAGTTTTCTAGTTTTATCCTTTTAAATTATTTTTGGCTCTACAGATATTGACATAATCATAATCATACATATGGATACTTGAACTTGGTGAAATTGTGAAATATGGCGTAGTGGAGTCACAAAGTTCTTAATCAAAAGCTGAAGTTCACTTAGTAGGTTATTTTAAAGTAATGAATAACAATGATTAGTGTTTATATTACTTGAATAAATGTGAGAACGCCCATTGTCCGTAGTCTTTAAATAATTATCTTTTTTCATAATATGCTACACAAAAAGTCTCCTCCAGTTTGTATATATTGGCTAATTAGTTAATGATAATTATATTTTTAATTCCAGTATACTTTTCTTATGATCGTGGTGTGCGCCATCATTGCGATGTTCAGTCAAGCACACAGTCACCCCTTAGCGTATCCAGACCTACAAACTGCTGAATCGTACTATCAACATGGCTATGGTCATCACGGCTATGGACACGGATACGGCCATGGATACGGTCACGGATATGGCCACGGGTATGGTCACGGGTATGGTCACGGGTATGGCCACTATTGATTTTGTTAAAATAAATTTGGTTTAGTTTTTATCTTTTAGTTTTCTTTAATCACTTACTACCTTATTACATTTATCCAATATACATATCTGGAGCGAACTCTCACCACGATCGCGGCGCTGGTCGTGACAAGAATGTGTGTTAAATTTGGGTCAAACTATTAAAATTTCTTTTGCGTTTCCTACAATCGGTTGATTTCTGGACTAAAATATGATAATTGTTATTGTATTGTCATTTGCAAAAAAAGATGAAACGTAAAACATTAGGGGAAAAATAATAAAGCGAGACCGGGAGAGGTTCAAAACCCTCCCGGCTCGCCAGGCCCGAGAACGGGCCAGGTACCGCAGACGGCTCGGGCGCCGGAGGTCGCAGAGCCACCTCCGTCCTCCATAAGCGCAGGCCTTAGGGTAACTGGTGAGGCCATCTGTCACTCTAGCAGAAGCAGGCCGGGGTGGGTAATGGCGCGACGCGCTACGGAGCGCGCGCTCTTCGGGGCAGGAAGGGAACATCCGGATTCCCACATAGGAGGGGTCATCAATAAGCCGTAGATGGCCCGAGGTACGTCGGGGTACTAGGGCTTTCCTTTCTAGGGTATACCTGGTTCCCCGGCTACTGGTACCTGGAGACGGCGTGCGGTTTTTGGTCGGTTCGAGTCCGACATAACAACCCACTGGTGGGTGGTATCCGAGGGGAGTTCCACACAGAAAAAAAAGGGGAAAAGTAATGAAAGAATTAGTATCTATAGGGTGTGCACCACTACGATCGAGCCGGCCCATTTGTGACAAAGCTTGGCTCTTCAATTTTTTAACGGCTTGTAAACAGGGTTACTGTGTAACTCGTGGGTATAGGTCACCATCTTCATTAGTATCAGAAGCACAAATCAAAGTCCACTTAGCAATAGTTAGTCACGAATAGAAAACGAAGCAGTCCGAAAATACAAGCCAAGTTTTCAACTAGATACTACCTTTGTATGCTAATTCTTAACAGCCCCGGTCTTTCATCTAAGTTTTTTTTATAAATTCTGGTACCATCCTAGACTATTTTACCGTGTTAGATAGCTGAGAATATGTATATATTTTTTAACAAATTGCAGTTTTTTGACAAATATTATAATCAAAATTGACAAATTTATAAATAATTAAATATTATATAAAAAAAATAAATGAATTGAATAAAATTAATAAATCAATTATTGAGTTTGCTCTTAATCTAACGATTGTGTTTATAGAGCTAGCCCGGCATAAAACTGCTTACTCTTAATGCGTATTGAAAAAGTTATGTAGCTAAGCAGTATCTTATTTAAATTGCTAAATTAATATAATCAGAGAAAATTCACTACTATATGAGAAAGAAAATAAGTAGAAAACTATTTGTTTTGTGTATGTATAATACAGTAAAAAGTATATGTAAAAAAAAACAAATTCCAAATCGGCAGAACTGCTGACAAAGACTAGATATATTGCACATAGAAAGGTTTTCAAATAGAATTTTCATGTATAGAACGTAAACTCATGACTATTTCGTTTTATTTTGAACGGAAGATTTTATCAATAAAAATCAACGTTTGATTGTACATGTTTTATGCTCTGGTATTTCATATCTTCGATGACAATAATTATATAGAATCAAGACACAAAGCCTTTTTTTTACGTGTGGAAACCCCCTCAGGCCGTCATCTCACCTTGGTTTACGCCGGGGTGGTGTGTCGGAATCGGACCTACTAAAACCGCATGGTGTGCCACTCTGTGCCTGTAATAGGAGATATCCGGGAACTGCTGTTATTAAGATATCCGGGCTCCTTCTAGCCCCGGCCCGCAATGGCGCGGGCACCACCTTTCACCTATTTACCTCCTCCTCCGCCTCCTCGCGACTGGCCGTTGTGGTGGGTGGAGGGGAAACCCCGTCTCGTTAACCTGCAGCCAGAGCCACTCAGTTCGGCATGAGGCGCTGGTAAGCGCGCATCCGCGCGCCCGATTGGGTCCGAGCAAAGGTCCTCCTCCCGGGCCCTGACATCTTCGCAGATGGACATTCAGGACGTCCTGATACATAAAGTCACAAATGCCTGCAATATTTTTGTGAGGTTTATAGGACATATTTTTACATATATTAAAGCTATGGGTTATTTAACTGTGTTTATTAAACTAAATGATATTTAATTTCAAACGCCACACCACACACACACCAACAGCCTATAATAGTCCACTGCTGGACAAAGGCCTCTCCTTAGAATGAGGTTGCAAACGCCATTTATATTATATTATTTTTATTTAACCCATATACAATACCAATTGTTTATTTCAGTTAACAGAAATAATCTTTAATATACAGGATTACTGGTTAAGTCCACCTAGATTATTTAGGGGGTTGTAGTAGCCATAATTTCTGATAGATTTCACTATGGAATACCATATCCCAAAACTGCCCATTCAAGATATTGGACTTTTTAAGATTATTTATAAAAATTGCTGAGATTTGCTTTTTTTTTGCCTTTACTAACATTGGTTTCTGCAATTCTATTTTCATCTATATATGTATACCCAGTATATCTGTGTTGTATAACATCTTGCAACCCACTACAATTTAAATAATTTATCTTATTATACACCTAGCACACACAAATCTCTGCATCACCCCAAGGTTGACTGGAAGAAAATGCCTATGGCATTAAGTCATATCCTTGTTCCTTTAAAGGAAGGTTATGCAATTTATTGGCAGGAAGTATAAATAAATATATAAAATAAATTAAGTTTTATCAATTTTAATGTTAACAGACATGTATCATCATCACCAGCCTCTAATATTCCATTGCTGGACATGGGCCTTTTCTAAGAGGATTTGGCGTACTATACCACGCCGCGCCGGATTGACTGGTTGGTTTAGGGTTTGTGTCAAGTTTTCCTTTTTTTTTGGCAGTACTGTTGTCCTGTGTAGTTTACTCCCGGTAGTCGGCTATTACGACACTCACAGGATGGACATAGGTGGTGACACTCCGTATTCTTAATCCATCATCACACGGACGACAGACATGAATAGTACACAATATTAAAATGTAAGTTTCACATAAGTACAAAGCGGGTACTTCATGTACTACTTACCTTTCGAGAAGCACGTGACTCCTTATTCTAGACCAATGGGTACAACTTCTGTTTAGTTTGGTTCTGGATAGAAACGTGTTAATGTCTGGTATTTAGTCTTAGAAAGGGATTTGACACAATTCCATTTCATTTTAATACAGTAAAAAGAAAACTGTTACATGTAAAAATAATTTATTTATGATTTATTATTTTACTTAAATTACTTATTATTATTATCCAAAGTAAACACCAAAGCCTAGGTCCTGGCCGTATCCATGATGACCGTACCTTTGATCGTGGCTATATCCGTGGTTGTGACCATGTCCATGGTCGTGTCCGTAACCATGATCATGTCCGTAACCATGGTCATATCCGTAACCATGGTTATGTCCGTACCCATGGCTGTGTCCATACCCATGATCATGTCCATGCCCATGATCATGTCCATGCCCGTGGTCATGTCCATGCCCGTGGTCATGTCCATGCCCGTGGTCATGTCCGTATCCATGGTCATGTCCATGTCCATAATCCGGAGACGCTAAAGGCAGACAGTGAGTTTCAATGAGCAACGCGCTAGTTGCTATAATTACAAACGTCATAAAAGATAACTGAAACAAAATTTATAAATATAAGTTGTAAGTCTCAAATCTGTAGTTGTAGTTTAGTAACAATTATTTTTATATATTGGACTTAAATTAATAATTTCTCGCTCCATAATACACACATATTAAAGTTTGGATGACAAATTGTATTTAATATTTAAACTAAATTGCCATCTAAAGTTTTACTCACAGTATTCATCGTGTCGCTCTAAAAAGTTCAACTTCAAGAATGTCGTTTTCCACAGATAGGAACACTTTATATAATTATTTTTCTAGGACATTAAAATACCGGCAATTTTTATAAACTGCGTCACAAACTTACCAAACAAGTATGTATAAAAGTCGTTTAAATTTTTAACAGTTTCATAATTTGTTGGTTGGTTAAGTCCCTTTTGCGATTAGCGTGTATAGTTAATATTTTTCATCTGTTCTGGTCGGAATGGTTACGGTTACGAGTATTAATCTTGTTTTAGAATTACATAATTTACGAATATAATCAAGATTTAACAAGCGAATGCGATACTCCGCTAACATGATGAAGTCTAGGTTCTGTTTAAATATTTGGCCGGAACTGTAGTAAAAAGCAGTTTTTGCGTGTAGCTTTCCTCTAGTTTCCCTACAATTTATGGGATTAATTTCGTAAAAATGTATGAAAATGTATAACAGGAAGCAGAGGAAGCGCGTGCTATTTTTTTGACCAGTGAGTGAGAGATAAGATGAGAGCACACGGTGCAAGAGATGGCTGTCAGATGGTGGGTGAGATGTCAGATCATCATAAGTGAATATTGTAAGACTTGCTCATCAATTCAATTATCTCGGGCATTATAGTTTACTTGTTTCTGGATGGCAGATGCTATATTCTATTCTGTACCACGTAACAATGTGTATCCGTGAAAGCTCGATCACCACACTTACATTAGCATTAATGAAATTGGTTAGGAGTTAGCAACGTGGGGTTTTCCCTTGCTCCATAAAATGTTTACTGTATTTTTATTGAGCTACTAACCTTGTTTCGAAACTTCATAATATATGCGAAATGTTACTTTCGAATTTCTTTTATAACACGTTCTTTTAACTTCCCTTGTAATCAACTACCTAAAAGTTAATTTTCACCTTCTTTGAATTGTCAAATTAAGATGGAACGTTGTGTCTAATATCAAGTTTGAATGACACTACTATTACAGTTTGAGATCTTAGAGTTGATCTCATGATTGGGCCAGTAAAGAAGTTGGAACTTTTTAGTAGCTAATACAATGAAGGCGTATTATGATCGCCTCGGTGGTGCAGTAGCGTATGCAATTGCTGTACTGAGGTCTCTGGTTTGAACTTGGCTTATAATTAGTTTAAAACAAGATGGCGTTGTGTGTCAGATGTCCGAAAATATTATTATCATTGTTATGTCGAATTTGTTCTTTGTCAGCTTTCGCTGTTAGTATTTTAATGACATGCACGGACTCAGTCTTCTTGGGAGAATTTAATTAGGTTTGTTCGTGTATTGCATTGTGTGGTTTTTGGTCTGTTTGCAGAAACTTTCTTACGATTTTGCAAGTGTTTAATCAGCAGCTTTAGAAGAGGCATGTAGGTATTGGGTTACAGATTAAGAATTTGCAAATTGTAAGTATGTGATGTATGTGTTTCGATTCGAAATAACACTAGTCGTGGAAAACACTACAGGGAAGCGGTTTCATTTATTTCATCTCGTACGGTTATATCGGGGTGGTTGCAATGTATGGTCCTATCGGTTAGTATTGCACGGTCATAGTAAATTTTTAACCGCAGGTTAGATGTCCGAAAATATTATTATTATTATTTGTGTCTTCTCACCCGCAGGTATCCATGAGTGCCGCATGCTGATATATCTGGGCCTCAATTCTGCTATTTTATGTTCACGCCAAGCCACTGTCATACCACTGACACGCTATTGAGATGCCATCACGTACCTAATATATTTTCAAATTATAAGGAAATGATTTATTTATTTTTCCAAATATGGCAATCTTTTTGATATCACCACTGAGGAGCCACTGCCATTAAATCGCCACTGTAAAGACACTGAGTTAGTGTAGACTACCGATATTTATACCGATGCCAATGGCCACTCGATGGCATCTCAATAGCGTGTCAGTGGTATGACAGTGGCTTGCCGTAAACATAAAATACCAGAATTGAGACCCTGCTAAATTTATATTTTATAAAGTACTAGCTGACCCGGCGAACTCTGTTCCGCCTTAAAGTTGTTGATACACGACATTTTTTGTTTTCTTATCAGGCGCATAAACAAACAACGCAGATGGTCTTCCGACCAATACTCAACGTTGCAATGTGTCTTTAACGTTTTAGAAATAAGTGGCGAATATGGAACAATCCAACTGTTGTCGACAACGAAATCCATTCTTTTCACTTTTGTTGTGACAGTTCCACCGTTGTCATCTGGTGATCGACGCCGATACAAAAAAAAAAAATACGGAATAAAAAGTATCCTATGTCCGTCTTCTGGCTCTAAGCTACCTCCTCACCAATTTTCAGCCATATCGGTAAAGCCGTTCTTGAGTTATAAATAGTGTAACTAACACGACTTTCTTTTATATATATAGATTTTTTCATTAGTATGAAAGAGTTTATTGTCGTTTAGAGTGTATTAGATATAGACACATCGAAGCAAAACTCATACAGTAAGGTATTATTAAAAAGATTAGTTAATTTGGCCAGATGCAAGCTGTATTACAGTTTAGGGAGGCGACGCCTCTATATAAGGTATAAACCCGTAAATTCAATTATGGCTGTTTGTAAATGTTTTTTGAATTTTTCTTGGATGAATCTGGGAGGACTACTTACGACTTAGGTTTTACTTCTGTTTCCATGAATAGCATTGTAGTTTCAGTTTGTGAGTGTGCATACATGAGTACTAAATGGTATTTGTATATCGTATGTGAAAAATTGTCATTTTAGACAAAAGTGCTCAGAAAGTTCTCAAAAAGTAAAGCAGTGTTTTATAACCACTCTAATAAACGCCCTACTTAGGTAATACTTTGCGTGACAAGTTTAAAAACAAATCATCAATTACTTTATTTCATTTTGTTCGTTTTATTAAACGTAAGAAATAAATCCTTACTTTTGAGAACATAGTTTACTTAATCAAGTTAGATTTGTCAGTTTTCAAACATGATTTCTTAAGAATTGCTTAAAAATCCTGAGTTTGCCGTAAACAATTCGCGTTGAACTTTGATCATGTTGTTTATACGACTCTAAAATATGACCTTTCTGTGCGTTTTTTTTTGTATTCCGAGTAGGTTATAAACCCTATTTAGTCTTATAAGATTACAAGAGACTATACTAACATTTTAGTTAAGTGATGATGATTATTTTATCATTAATTTTTAAGATATTTTTTTTAAGTCTCTTCACCTCTGTGTTAAGAGTTATTATAATCTAGGCGCTAGGTACTCATAGAAGTAAAGAATAAAAATGCAACTGAACGATTGTTAGGTATAAAACTAAAAAACTTGAAAGACTTATAACTCCAGCCCTATACACGTATAATCTTTAACTATTAATCCAATTAAAGACACTACACGTATACCGCGAGCTCAACATCAGCGGTCACTAAACTTTGTAAATTAGTTGAAACTTCATTATTATCTATGAATAGAATAAATTCCACAATTTAATAGCTTTTTTCATCAAAATTAGTTATAAATGAATAATGGGCTTTATCAATTATCATTTTACATTATTAATCGTTTTCATTATTGTAGGGGATAAGATATTGGTTGGCTTTAATAAAGTGATTTAACTCTTGGGTTTAACGGGGATTACTTAAAGGCTTCTGATTCTAGTAATAAAATATGTCTGTCAAGTGTAAATCAATAGAGTAGGTAACTTATGTACTTATATTTTGTCTGTATCCTGTTAAATTCCTATCAGTTGTCCTTTTTGGATTTAATAAAATATTTTTCGAGTCGTTCTTTGAATTGGTTCACATTTTAGATATAACATTATATAAAAGCTTGTTCCACGCTATGACTACACGATTGCCTACAAATTGTTCGTGAGGATTGATAATCGAGTAGCTGGTACAAAGCTTAAGATTATGGCTTCTTACTCCCCGATGAGAATTGTCATTTCGTATGAATATTTTATCAAACTCTTGTCATAATATCCATTTAATTATAGAAGGACTTTTCAATGATAAAAGAGTATCTTTTTTTACGCCATAGGGAGGGTCAATAAGCGGACAGGTCACCTGATGTGTGTAAGTGACTACCGGCGCCCATGGCTACTCGAGAGTCTTAAGAGTGTTGCCGCCCTTACAGTCCTCCTCAGAGTCAGGAGGAGGGGAAGGGTTTGGGCTCCAGTAACCTCACTCATTCCATAAAAGCAATGAAATGTAATGAAGATATCCTATCCTAACTAGCATCATCATCATCACATCACAGCAACAGCCTTTAATAGTCCACTGCTGGACATACGCAGAGGCGTAAACCTCCTTTCTAAGGAGAGCCTTAGAAAGGAGGTTTTTGCCTGCTATACCACGCTGGCCAGACGGGTTAGTATAGGATTTGTGTCAAGGTCCTTTTTTTAGGGTGTATTGGTCGAGCAGACAGGTCACCTGATGGTAAGCAACTACCGCCACCCATGGACACCTGCAAACTCAAAAGTCAGAAGTGCGTTGCCGCCCTTGGAATCCTTTCCGCTCGAATCAGCGGATTTGGGCTTCGGTAACCTCACTCACTCAGTGAAAGGCAACGAAAGAATTGCTTAACACCGGTTTTCTGTGAGGCCGTGGTATCCCATTCGTACTCAAGCATGTCTCTCCCATGTTAACTTTTCCTTCTTCTTTTTGCAGTGCTGTTGTCCTGTGTAGATTGTTACCTCGGCTCTTATGACACCCTCGGGGTGGAGAGGGGTGGTGACATGCCATTTCATTCGTCACAACACGGATACCTAACTAGCAACTCATATATATACGCGAATGTGAGTTTGTATGTTTGCTACACTTTTCCGTCATAATTTATTAATTGATGATCATGAAAGTTTGCCTATAGGTTGTCAGGACGGGATACAAAACGAATTAAACTAGATAAATAACTTTAATGCGAGCAAAGCCCCTTAGCTTTAAGCCAGTGGGAAGCTTCAGTACTAATATGTACATGATTTTATTTGTATTTATTTATTTAATAAAACCAATTACAACAAACT